CAGAAGGTAAATATATTAATAATAATCTGATAAATGCATGATGACTTCATATACACAGTGTTGGACTATAAAGTTCGAAACAGTTCCTAGAGCACCCAGTTTTCCATTCTGTCCCAGATTCCCAAGTGGGTCACATATCCTTTAAGTGAATCAGAAGTGAAGGGTCTATAAAGCTCAGCTTCTGGGTTACCTAATATCATTAAATCTACTTTATGTTCCCCAGATCTCTATGAAAGCCTGTTCAGGATGGTGCTACTACACCAAGAAATGGGTAGGATTTGTTTTACAAGTATTAAATTAATGTTAATAACAGAGGAGTACTTGTTTAATCAGGCATTTCAGTGCTGTATGTATTATGCTCATGAACAGAGCTGCTGGGAGAACATGGCTCTGCTAGTCATAGATGCATCCAGGGGTCTTCTTTGGAAGGGTATTAACTGCTGGGGAGCCACAAAATCACAGCTCCTGGGAAAACTTTAGTATTTTCTGATTATCATACTTTCTTGCTCTTTCCACAGAAACTATATTAATGTAACATCTATTTAACAGGACATTGATGTTGGATGAAAGACACCTTCTCAGTTCAGCTACAGACTGTATGAGCAATATTATACAAATTTTCAGATTCTGTGACTCATAGGCTGGTATGTTACACAGGGGTAAATAATTTCACATGCACTCAATTACTCATTTGAGCAGTAGCAGGAGAGTGAATTTGTGCAAAGTTTTGATCTCTCCTACTGAAGGAAGATCCTTCTGCCGTCTAATTAAACTCAAAGAAAACAGGCTTTCTCATAGCTGTAAACCACAAGGGGTAGTTAAGACTAAATCCAGGAAAAAGTAACTTATACAAAATTTTAACTTGGGTTATATAGAGGCCACACAATTTTCACTACCAAATCCAGCCATGAAAAGATGTTTTTTTTTTGTTTGTTTGTTTTTTTTATTATTATTATTAGTTGCCAAATCAATGACTGACAACTCCTCTAACTTATCTTGAATGAAAACATGTTGTGACAAGTAGTTTTAGAATAAGCAATCATTTTATTTATTTATTTATTTATTTTTTGTGTCTGTGTGTTATAAGACAATACCTTAATGACTTTGATCCAAGGAAAAAAAAATTGTGACCTAACAACTTTAACAGCCACATAAGTGCCACAGAGACTAGCTTGCCAGGGCTGAGCTACCCATTCAGCAGAAAGATAGTCTGGGTATTGAATTTTAAACAGACAAAATCAATGATGGTCCCTTCTTATCTTCTGATGGGTTTTGTTTCCCATTTTAGACCAACAGTACTTGCGAATTTAAACTATGAACAAGCTAAGGAGTAAAATGTACTAAGAGTTGATTTTGTACAAAAACAAGAGGAAATGTTCTAAAGGATGTTTTGTACACATTTCTACAGATAGGGCAGAATTGATAGAGCAGGTTTTATAATGAAATCAATGGCCATCTCTTTGTAGAATCCAAGGAAGTGTATCACCCGAGACAACTGAAAGCCATTAGAGTGCTACTCTCCACTGCTTTCACTTCAGTTAAACTTACTTGAAGGGATGAAGGTGACAAATCAGTGTAAAGAGATGGAATATGCAAAGTCAGGGGAAAGAAGAAGGTGCCTATGAAAAGAAGGGGATTTGCAAGCTGTCCTCGAGGTTAAGTATTTCCTAAAGGATGACTTGGTAACAGTCATTGAGTCAATGTCATTTATTCCAAGATAGATTAATCAATATTCCTTAGGACTAACTAGAAATGAAAATTCATGAGGTAAAAGAGTAATCCAGTTTCAAAAGACACTTACATGTCTGTTTATTTGCTAAAGACTGGTACCTTATACCTGCATGTTAGTAAAACCAATGTCTAGGGGGTGAGTACCTCTCCTCTTGGAACTGTACCAATAAAGTAGCCATAAGATGGCTACAGAGTTTCAATTTTATTCACAATTCACCTAAGCTGAACTGGATTTAATAGCCTGAATTTTTACGTAATAATATAGGCCCAGGTCATAATAAAGATCTTTATAGTATTGGTTCAGAAAAACAAGAAATAACAGAATAAATAAGCTAATTTATTAAATACACTTTAATAAGGTGTATTCAGCTATGCAAATTATAGCGCCATGTCATGCTCAAAAGTGATACATAAAGCTGGTTGTTTGCAGTGTATGGAGAGCCTACAACATTATTAGTGTTTCTCCTTTTGACCATCAGAGCCATATAAAATTAAAAAATAATAAAAATAAAATATTATTATTATATTAAAAAAAAAAGAATCTTTGTACTCTGATTTCTATTTCTTCATTACTAACACACTGTCATCCAATTGTCCTTCATCCCACAGTGTGACTAGAATTTTTTGTCATGAACCATTTTTAAAGCCTCCTATGATAAAAAGAAGCAGAAAAAATATCCTTCAAAGAAGTGAAGAAGAATAAGATTGATGACATTGTTCATGAATCCAACAGTTTAAATTAAAAGAATCAAAGTCCTCATGATTATAGTTAATTATACTTTGGAGATGGCATTTCAGTATTTAACTTTCTGCAGTTGTAATGAAAACTTGCCTTCACATTGAATGATTTACTTTATTTTAGTTTGTTATTTCATCATTATCTTCTTGTTATGGGAAACAAAAATATAGGAAACCTTTCAAAATGAGCCAGTTGAGACAGTAAGCAGTTAAATAATCCTAGGAAAGAATGCCTTAATGTTGCAAAGATGTAAGCATGTGCTAAAACGTATGCATGAATAGTCCCATGTGTAAAGTTAATTGCCTATATCAGCACATAATGATGATGCAGCACCATAGTACAAATAAACTAAAGGGATTACATGGACAAAGACTGTATCTTTTAATTTAAAAAATATAATGATTAGAATATTACATTTCCTTCCTGCCTTTATTTGAAAGGGTGCAAAACAGAGATAACTCACGCAGCTCCTCCTGGGCAGTCTTATTAACTCTGACTGAGGTCTTGCTTAGCTCTTCACCTCTCTGCAGTCTGCAGATTAGAAAGTAAGCACCTAGAGCACTTTCTCTCCTGTCATTGGACTCCAGTTTTACATCCCAGTTGTAATAACTGTCGCATGAAGTGATCCCCATCTAGGACACACTTTTCACAAGGTCTCTATCCCCCCCATCTTTCTGACAGCTTATTACGACTGAAGTGAAAATGTTACATAAACCAAGCTGTTTATGGAAATCTTATTTCTGTCACATGAGTCCTATCCTGATATGACAGATGCTTTATCTGACTGCAAGTATTAAATATATTCATTATATCTGTCATTATGCAATTCCCCTCTTATCACCACTGGTTTCTATAGTCCTGATAAAATACACTGTGAGCAGTATAACCATTGCACCTTAGCACACTTTAACGTTTATAACAATCTGACATAATAAGGATACTGTCATTGCAGAAACACCTTCCTACACCCATGTGGGTACTTGAAAATCTGTGCTTTCTCCACCCTCCCACATGAATATAGTAGCTTAGGATCTTTTATGCTGTGCCTTGATTTTTAATGATAAGAGATGTCAGGTACCATTTAAAACAGAAGAAATGAAAAGGGGACAATAGAGCTTTAACTATAAAGCTGGATTACTTGATAAGCATGGGCTACGCGTACAGATGTGGTCACCTGTTCTGCTTCTGTGAACTGGGAAAAGTGTGAGAAAATATGAAACAGTTAAAGTGTTAAACTAGAAAAAAAAACGAAAATCTTATCTTAGGACCCCTTTATTTCCCTCTTAGATACCGATAGAACATAGCTGAGGGTGACAGACTTTGATCACAACCTAACTGCACTCAGAACAATTAAGTATGTAAGATTTATATAAATCAGTTCTAAACTCTGGCCTGTATTGGTGAATCTGACCTTCTCAAGTGTGTGTAGTATACAAGTATTGCATATTCTCCTGCACATTAGTGTTCTGTCTCACGACAGTGCTTCAATGAATGTCTTTTCAAAACATAAGACACAGGTTTTGGAGTCCAAAGAACAAAGTCCAGTCACAACCCTGATATTTTATGCTCTAGCCTCCAGACTGCACCATCAGAGCAGTGGTTATGCCCAGACTACCCTTCTGGATTCTGATGCCTGGATGTAGGATTTTCCAAGTTAAAAATTACAGATTTTTGCAAAAAGGAATAACTCCCAAGAGAATAAAGAAAATTTGGAATGTGTATAGAGAAAATTAGCTAAATCCTGCATGATGTTGATGTTTTGGGGATAGAATTGCTTAAGCAGCACTTTTGCCCTGTTAAGGCTAATTGTTCACAGGTTGGTTATCCATATTTAGGAGAGCCAAGGTTCCAGAATCACCGTTATGTGTTCCCATGTTGTGCAGCACATCTGGGTTTTAAAACAGCATAGTGGCAAAGCATTCCCTGGACCTGAGCAGCAGAAATAAAGATTGATACCAAGGAATCCAGGATGGCTCAAGAAGTGGCTCTGGATCTCTTGCTGTATTTTGCTTCGCTGGTCATTTGCATTAGGACCAACACAGTTCTAGCCGTTGTCAGAGTGACAGGACTGGCTACAGACGTTGTCTATTTTGGCAGCAGTGCTTTGGAAGAGAACCGAGACTTTCGCAGGGCTGAGACCTGCCAGCCTCCAGCTCTTTTGCTAATACAAAGGCAAGATAGACTTCCTCCTGTATCCTGACAGCAAAGCCTGGGAGGAGGGAAGCCTGTGCACATGCCATGGAGGGGGCTCGCCTTTTAGGGACACGCTGCCTGGGGGCTCCCACGTCCCACTGCAGCCCGGTGGGCTCGGGCCGAAGGAGGTGTGCGGGATACCGGGGGCAGGACGGGAGGCAGGTGCCGTGCCTTGTGGCCCTGGGGCGGGGCTGCCGTAGCGCCTCGCCCGTGCATTGGGTCCAGATTCATACATAAATATCAGCCGGGGTGGGCCCCCACACTCCCCAACCCGGGAAAAGAGAAGAGGGGGAGGAGGGGAGAGGGGAGGTTAAGGAAAAAAAAAAAAAAAAAAAAAAAAAAAAAAGAGGAATAATAAAAAAAAAAATCCCAGTGAGGTCATTTCAATGAGAGCGCAGGAGGCGATGAGCCAAGGTCGACTCTTCTGGAGGAGGCGCAGCCCCTGAGCGGCGCGGTGCTGCATACCGCCGCGCTGCCCAGCCGGCCGCCGGCGGCGCCCTGTCCCCGTGCCCGCCGCCGGCCCGGCACCTTGGAGAGCTCCGCGTCGCCGCCGGGCTCGTTGCCGGGCTCGTTGCCGGGCTCGTTGCGCGTTTGCTGCGCGGGGCCGGGGCCGCCCCGCCACCCCTCGGCATCCCCGGCGGCCGCGGATGCGCCGCTCCGCCCAGGCTGCCGGCGAAGGAAGAAAAGTTTGGGGGGCCACTTTAGGGCCGCCGGAGCGGCGGAGGAGAAGGAGGATGCGCGGTTTCGCCGGCTGATCGCGAAGGAAGGATGACCGAGGGAGGATGTGCACCAGCAGCCAGATCATCGGGAGCCTCCTGGTGCTCTCCGTGCTGGAGATAGGGTTAGGGGTGTCCAGCGTGGCCGTGGGGGCGGTCAGTTTCAGCCTGGTCCTCACAGAGCATAAACCTCAGCTGGGAGACTCTTCTCCGGTATGGAGCGGGGTGTGTGTACGTTAGCCATTTCACTCTCTCTTTAACTCTTTATGGTGATGATCAGACCGTGCGAAGGCACCCTCCCCTCCCTCCCTTCCCCTGCCTTCCCCTCCGCGTGTGCATGCTGCGCCGGGAGCCGCGCTGGGTCCATTGCCGATGTGCATGGGGAAGAGTCTGCATGCTCGTGGGACTGGGGAGAGAGCCGCGTGTGGGTGTCGGGATACGGGGGACCCCTTCTTGCTCGCTTTTTGCCTTGTTTTGATTTTGATGTAAATGATTGAACTTTCCGTGAACCCCTTCTCACACCTGGGGAAGCCCGATGCCTCGAATGCTTCCAGCATTAAGGAGCCTGGGCCATAGCTTGTAATCTTTCAATCGACTAGGAGCTCTGCTTTTAAAAAAGAACAGCCCTGTACCTTATGACTAGACTGTTAAAGGGTGTTTTAAAATAATGAATGTCAAGGCTTTGTCAGCTGAGCTTTGAGCCTTTGGAGGAAAAAAAAAAAAAAAAGGAAAAGGAAATGGGCAAGAAAATGAAAGAAATTTTCTCATGATCTGGGCATCCTGAGCTTCTAGTAAAATGAATTTTAAATAAATAAATAAATAACACCAATAATGGGTTAATAGAAGGAACAGGTTCATAACACAGCAGAAACATGTTCATATCATTGAGCATTTCTCACTTCTCAAAAACCTTTATTTTTTTCAGTTTGAGATAAACATGTTTCTAGGAAGCATTTTCCTCCAGATGGTTATTTATATTTATGAAACAAAGAGAAGGAAAAATCGAATATTCAACCTAAACATGAGTGGGCATTTTTGAACTCCAAAGCTGTTTTGGCCAGCTTGGATCAAACAGCAATATTTCTAAAAGCATTATTTGTATTGCTTGAGATAAGATGTTAAATGCAACAAACTCTTGGTTATTCATCAGCTTAACTCCTATAATTTACAGATTCATTCTGACAAAGTGCTTCGTGTAATATTCTCACTGTCAATAATTATTAATTATTGACAACAGTCATAAATATCTGTAGCAGTACATAAACACATGATTCTGCACTGCAGAACAGGTAGGCGAGATAGGAGAATGAAGACATGATAATATAGGACACTGGCCAGCAGATAATGCTATTATCAAAATCAGTTCAAAGGAGGAGGTTGCTGATCATTGCTGATGAAGAAAAAGATTACTTTAAAACATGTGTCTATCCGAGGATTTAATGACAGAGGATAATATCCTGGGCTTCAGTGAAATCAGAGAATCCTGACCAGTCAGTGCGATCTGATTTCTATGCAGTGATTGCATTTTGTGACAATGCAATCACAGCTGATCCCATTTCATGACAATGCACATTTCCTGCACAACTGCTTCATTCTTTTTTATGTTTTTTGTTACTCCACATAGTTTATCCTAGTCAAAGATTAAGATCCTATTACATCAGATGTTGGTTCCAAGGACTTTACAAGCAAAGCAAGAGACAGATGCAGGATTAAAGGAGATAAAGAAACAGCAAAGCAAAATTGATTGGTATAACAGGTGGTTGCATTAACACACCAGCAGTCTGGCTGATTTTGAGCTGTCTGTAAGTAGAGTTTTAGAGAGGAGTAAAACAGAGAACAATTAAGTGATTTTGCAGATGTTTATAGGAAATTCTCCCTATATGTGTGTGCAGAGCCATGGAAAGGAAACTGAAGGGACTTGTTTGAATGTGTAACAGGTGGGTGGAGGATGCCCACAACCAGAGTCAGCATCAACTGTTAGAAACTGAGCAAACAACAACACACTGGGTAGGCAGAGAGAGGACACACAAAAACTGTACTGTGAAAGCACGTATCTTATTTTTCGTGTAGTTGAGGAAATGAGAAATCACAGCACTGCACAGACTGGGGTGACATCGTTATAAAGGTTTACTTACTTTGTGTTGAACTTTGATCAAATTCACCTTTGTGGCTTCCTTTTTGTACCACTCCAGCAGTTCAAACTGTCTGTAAGGTTGTGTTCTTCTGTCTAGAGAATTGGCGGTTAAGACAGGATAAGAAAAGGGCCACGGACCTACCTGTCTCCAGGGATGTTTAGGGCCATGAATAAATGTGTCCAAAGTAAAATGATTGGAGAAAGATTTGTTTGCACAATCCTCAGAATATGATGCTGTGGAAATGGCATAGCCCACCTTTCTGCCCACTGGATCCTACACTGAGCTCATGTTGGCTGTATTAAACAATACGTATGCACTATATATATGTTATATATATGATACATATTATATATCATATCATATATATATATATATCATATATCATATCATATATATGATATATATATATACCATCTATATATATCATATATATATCTGATTCACATTCTTGAATCAAAGTTTCACCTTGAGAAATAAACAATGAGGAAAATAAAAATAGAATTAAAGGAAAAAACTGCTTCTTTGACATGTTGGGATGCAAAACACTGTAGTTAAGTTGAACAGTGTCATGTCTCCTCTAGTAATTTATTTGGAAATATTCTAAAAACTTTTGACCCTATTTTACTCTTTACTTAAGTGGGTGGAACTCAGCAAAGGCCCAAGTTCATAAGGAAATAGATGAAGATAGCATCACCATGGAAACCCTAACCTGGATTCTTAACATTTGGGAATCTTAAAATCATGCACATTCTATCTGCTATACTTGCCTCCCTGTGATGGCTTCTATTTGATATGTTAGCTTTCTTTTTAAGAGTTTACTTTTTTTTTTTCTTTTTTCATTGTCATCTTTCAGCCAGATAATTTACTAGCATAACTGACTTTAAGGATGTGAATCCCACCCATGGGATTAGAGATACAAGTGAAGTTAAGCATGGGCTGAAATGCTCTGATCATTGAATGCTCTGCATTATACATGAGCAAGCCACAGAAAGTGGAGTAGACAACAGTGAAGAAATGGAAAACCTAGGGAATGTCTATATCAAAAATGCATGGAAATGGGAAAACATTTGTTGTTCTCATTGGATTTGAGCTAGATTAAGATGCTACGAGTTGTTTAAAAAGTAGCCAAAAGAAAACAGCTGAAGGTGAGAATGACTTCTTAAATTATCTAGAACATGTGGAGACAACTGACTGATTTCTTTCATATCATATGCAGTCTTTTAAAAAATTTCCATGGCTACTAGGTTAAAAAATAATATATAGTTCAAGAATATCTTAAGATGGATATGTTGTTGCTTTCTGGATTTTCTTTATTTTTTGTTATGATTGCATTATGATCTACTCCACAGGCTATTATCAGTGTCTCCCAGATTTCTGTAACCAGAAACTGAGATATAGTTTTGAAATCTATTGTTCCAATTCAACTATGTGAGGTACCATAGAAATGATCTAGCTCATGAGCATGTTGAACCACTACCACAACACAGCAAGAATGACAGCCATCTGTTGGAAAGGATTTTATACAAAGAAAAAATCAGAACATAATCTTTCAAAACATATTCACTGATATTTTTTCAATGGCCACATACTCTCCCATTTATATTTGGAACATATTAGTCACTATGATTAGTGTCTATATATTTACACACACATATGTATATGGCTCTAGTTCTCATTTATTCTGCAGTGGTGAATAAATTATTGCTATAAACAAGACCCTCACAGCAAGAAAGAAAGAGAATGAGACAAAAGCCACATCTTAGTCAAGCATGTCATCTATTTTTACTTAGAAGAGAAATACCTGATGATTCACTTCTGGTTATGCCCCTCAAGAATGATAGTCTCTTCCCTTATAAAGACAAATATCTAAATGTGTTTAACTGATGTGCATTCTCTGGATGTTTATCTGTCTGTCTGTCTGTCTGTAGGAGCAGAGTTACTATTCCCTTTATTTGTGATCATAGCAGTATGGAATTCTTCCTGCCCATGAAAAATCAGCATTTATAGTTTGGTATCAGAAATATGCTCCAAGATGTCGCTTGTAACAGTCAATTTCAACTATTTTTTTTTTTTAATACAGTACTTGAAGGGAAGTCTTAAGGTTCAGTCAGTAGGGAACTCTCCCAGAGCAAGACTATTATTTTGGACTGTTAAATCAATGTTGGTGGCCTAAAATTTTAAAACATTCATTTTTTTTACATCTAGTTTTTACTGCTGCCAAGTTTCTTTTGGAAAAGAACGGTCAAATTATTTTTTTCAAAGGAACACGCACAAAAAAAACCACATTATTGTTCAGCATGCAGACAAAATGCAGATGTGATCCTACTTTATTTTAACATGTGCATTGAATTTTCATCAAACTGGCCATATTTCTGGCTGGCTCCTGCTCCTAATGAAATTAATTTCAGCACTGTCAGTGAGCTCGGTAGAAACTGGAGAGCGTTCTGTTCTGTACACGAAGGAGGATGTACCAAGCGTGGCAGCTGCTTGCCTTATGTGGAACCAGGACAATTCACCAGAGCTCGGGAGTCTTTCAGCAGGTTTTCTTTATCATTCAGACCTTCCAGAAGCACATGCCGTTCTTCAAGCTGGCCTGTTCAAGCAGACTTCTAGTGCCTGATTTGTATTTAAGAGAATCTGCTGAATATAGATTGACTTAAGCATATGTTAAAATGTTTTTTTAAGACTCTAGTTCACCTACTGCAAATTATTCTTAATTTGTTAGTTTTCAAGAAACAAGCAATCATGCTCTAAGTATTTAATACAAAATACGATAATTAAACATTATTTACTGCTTGTTATTCTAAAGTGAATCTTAAACAAGTAATACTCTTCTTTTGCACTGAGAAGTTGAGTCTTTTTCCAGATAGCCAGGGGTTTTGTGAACCACCTATGACAGGTCCAGAGACCCACTTCTAAATTTCCCCAAGTTCTTCTGAAAAGCTCTTCCCATTTTTAAAGTATCTTTGAAGGCCTAGAAACATATGAAAGGAAACACTAATCCAACTCAGATTTGGAATAATCTCCCTTCCTCTATTTCATCAAATACATATGGATGACCTGGAATGCTGGAGGGCTCTCTATACAATGGGTGTA